AGAGTGGGCGGGAGTCTCACTGCTGACATCACTGAGACACCTGAACACCTGATCAATGTTAACCTGCAAGAAAACTGAGACTGAGAAAATTTTACAGCTGAATAAGACCAAGGTTTCTCTTCGATAAGCAGCCTGCACGTCTGCTGGTTCATTCTTGCATTGTGAGCTGTCAGATTTTAACTCTGACAAACAGCAGAATTCACAATTTACCAGAGAATCACTGAGAGAGAGAAATGGCATCAAAGTAGGTTTCTCACTGTGGCCAGGCTGACCGTCAGAGCTCTGTTGAGCCAACCATCCCTTTAACGTTAACTAGTAATGACTTCATGAACTTCTTCACAAATAACATTTTAACCATTAGAAAAAACATTACCAATAATCATCCCACAGATGTAATCTGTCCATGAAGTCAGATAACACACACCAATGAGTTAAACTGCAGGAATGTCTTAAAGACCTAAAGACCTGGATGGCCGCTAACTTTCTGCTTCTTAATTCAGATCAAACTGAGGTTATTGTACTCGGCCCTGAAAATCTTAGAAATATGGTATCTAACCAGATTCTTACTCTGGATGGCATTACCTTGGCCTCCAGTAACGCTGTGAGGAACCTTGGAGTCATTTTTGACCAGGACATGTCCTTCAACGCACATATTAAACAAATATGTAAGACTGCGTTCTTCCATTTGTGCAACATCTCTAAAGTTAGAAATATCCTGTCTCAGAGTGACGCTGAAAAAACTAGTTCATGCATTTATTACTTCCAGGCTGGACGACTGTAATTCATTATTATCAGGATGTCCAAAAACCTCCCTGAAAAGCCTTCAGTTAATCCAAAATGCTGCAGCAAGAGTCCTGACAGGGACTAGAAAGAGAGAGCAGATTTCTCCTGTTTTGGCTTCCTGTTAAATCCAGAATTCAAAATCCTGCTGCTCACATACAAGGTCTTAAATAATCAGGCCCCATCTTATCTTAATGACCTTGTAGTACCATATCACCCTATTAGAGCACTTCGCTCTCACACTGCAGGCCTACTTGTTGTTCCTAGAGTATTTAAAAGTAGAATGGGAGGCAGAGCCTTCAGTTTTCAGGCCCCTCTTCTGTGGAACCAGCTTCCAGTTTGGATTCAGGAGACAGACACTATCTCTACTTTCAAGATTAGGCTTCAAACTTTCCTTTTTGCTAAAGCATATAGTTAGGGCTGGACCAGGTGACCCTGAATCCTCCCTTAGTTATGCTGCAATAGATGTAGGCTGCCGGGGATTCCCATGATGCATTGAGTTTTTCATTTCCAGTCACCTTTCTCACTCACTATGTATTAACAGACCTCTCTGCATTGAATCATATCTGTTATTAACCTCTGTCTCTCTTCCACAGCATGTCTTTATCCTGTCTTCCTTCTCTCACCCCAACCAATCACAGCAGATGGCCCCGCCCCTCCCTGAGCCTGGTTCTGCTGGAGGTTTCTTCCTGTTAAAAGGGAGTTTTTCCTTCCCACTGTCACCAAAGTGCTGCTCATAGGGGGTCATTTCTCTGTATCTATTATTGTAGGGTCCACCTTACGATATAAAGCACCGTAAGCAGCTGTTGTTGTGATTTGTTGCTGTGTAAATAAAACTGAATTGAAAGTGAAAGAGCAGCAACTGTCCCAAAGGAAAGAATGAAACAAGATGGTCAGACAGATGACTTTGTTATTAATTCAGTGTATTTGATCACTTTGCTCAGTTATCATTGAATAATGTTTACTTGCCACTGTGGTGAAACAACCTCAGAAGCAAATTATAACTCAGACATGCGCGTGCATGTGGCGCTCAGCTCCCTGGACAAACACCACAACACCCTCTGAGTGCTTCCTGCTCCACAGCAGTGTCTTCATGTCCTGGAGTTCATGTTGGTGCAGTGGTCCTGGATACAAGCCTCCTTATTGGCTCAGGTGTTTCTATGTGCAGTTTGCCAGGTCTGCCTGTGCCAGTCCTAATGTTGCTGAGTGTTGGTCTGATGCTCTTACACTGAAGATAACAAACTCATTCACGTACAGTAAGGTGATGATAAACTGCAGTCATACTTTTGTCTTGATTTTAAACAACAATTTTCAGATATTTGCTTCAGTTTTTATTGCTAACATTGAACTTTAATCTGTGTACTTGGTTTTATTTCTTATTGGGTGTAGTTTACCATTGTGGCCACCAGATGGCGCACACTACGTGTTTAAAGTGAGTGAAAATGAAGCAGTTTTTGCTCCTCACTTAAATACTTTGGACAGAGAGACTTATTCCAGTGTTTAAACACTTGGTGTATTTTCTATCTTCTATGATCAATTAAATCTGAGTTTCACAAATCATTGAATTTTGTTTTTTTTTTTACGCTTGTGTCCTAACTTGCATGAAACCTCTGGCAAAGCTTTGGGTTAAGTTCCTGCTGCAGTTTGTTTCCAGCATCATATTTTAAAATGACACACAATCTTTCAGAAGAATGAAAGAACACCAGGATCGGCTCTGCAGCCTCTCCTGCTCTTACTATAAATGACCAGAATATGAAATGAATATTTTGGGGCTTAAGCTGTCACATCACTGTTATTGTGGTGGTAATAGGAGCTGATGGAAATGTCAGAGGTGGAAAAGCTGCTGGTTAAACAAAAGAAAAGCCAAAAGATAAACGAAGTCAGCAGACTTTGTTTCCTCTCAGGGGGTGATCTGTTTAATACTGGCTGATAATCCAATCCAACCATTCGGTGCACCGACGACATCATCTTCTTCAAAACTCTTCATCTGTCCCTCTGGCTGCAAACTGTGACAACAGGAGTCGTTTAATTTTCCTCTTTTCAGCCCAAACGTTCCTCTGCTGCTTTAATCATCTCCCAGTTTCTTTGGTTGAGATGTTTGACTAAAAATAAATAAATAATATTTTTAAATATTAGCTTTTTAAATCTATATATGAAGATCAGCTGCTGAGAAAAGACCTGCAGCTGTGATCAGCTGTAAACATCTGCTTTGGTTGAACATGTAAACTATGGATCAGGCATGAAGACGCCCAGAGAGGGAAAGGTCAACAGAGACTTTAATGTATAAAGTTTGTTTCCTTGTTAATCATCCAGACTGTAAACTGCCTTTTTACCCTGTGTGCAGGAGCAATTACTGAGTTATTCATTTATTCTTATACATCACATCTTTAAGAGACGTTTTTTACTGAAAAACACCAAAATCAGGTTCATGCTACAGTGTTTAGAACTTTCTTCACAGACTGACAGATAAATATCATCTTTTTAATCTCATATTGTATTTTACTTTAGATACTGGTCATGTTTATTCTTCTCTCTCTTAAATAAACATAAATACATTGTTGGTTTCAAATGCAGCTGCAGTTAAACCAACAGTTCTTTCTTCAGTCTGCATTCACAAACCCCAGAAGCTATTTAGAAAGCACAAGGAGCAGTATGTGCAGTGTATCGTCTGTCCAGATGTCTGACACCACATAGAAAATCATTCAAATTTAATAAAACATTGAAGTCATCAGACAGTGTTAGAAACATTCAAACCTTGTAAGATTTGAGTTTCTCTGTCAGCAGTCACGTCTCTGTTAACGTCCTCAGCTGCACCCAGAGGACACTTTGATCCACTCACCAGAGACTTTATCAATCCTCAGTCTTTATTCTTCCAGCAGAAAACTGTTTTCTATGTCTCGTGTGATGATGATTCATCAGAACGCAGTGAAAAGGAGCTCATCAGCATCAGGCCACGGCTTGACTGGAGGTACAGACCTCTTTTAAAATCTTTCGATGGTGCTGGAAACAAACTTGTGCCGTCCATGCTCCCTGATGTGTTTTGGTTTCCACTCTATAAAAATTATTTTACCATAATAACAACAAATATCATGATGTTGAGCCAGCTGACACATGTGTCATGTGCTTTTTAGAGAAATGTAGTTCTGCCTGATACAGTTTGCATGCTTTAACTACTGATTCCTTTTCAGTGCTGCATTACAGACACATGCAGGTATAACTATTCGCTCTTTAATTGTAAAAAGACTTGAAGTGAGGAAAAACAATAAAATAAGTAAACATTTTATTTTTGTAGATGTCTAATAACAGCTTTGTAATCCTCAATTGTTATTAAATATTTATTTTATCTAAATAAATAACTGCTGACAGATGTTAATTCATTGCAATAATGACAAAAAGTCTGGATTTTGCTACTTTTACTCTAAAAATGAAAAAAAAAACAGGGAATAAAATAAACAGATTAACATAAAAGTCTGAATTACATAAAAACGTATTTTGCACAAATTCTCAGCTTCTGTGATTCAAAGTGAAGGTTTGCTGCCCTCCTGCGACTGAAGGAGCTCACACACCCACGCTGCCTTCACGACACGTAGAAACTCGGACATCTCAGCTTCGTTTTACTAACAATTCGGATGACAAACACCCGCCGATTATAGTGACGTTTAGTAAAATCACTGTTTAGATTTATCCTTTGATCTGTTGACGTCATCGTTGTTCGTTTAACGGTAACACGTGAAATACACACAGCGTGTCCTCCAAGTCTCCGATCTCCTATTTAACCCCAGCCGTGAACGCAGCACCAGGACCAGCCTGCCTCACATTGTTAACGTTGATTTCTCCCGTTCAAAGCAGCATTTGTCTTCCGTGAGCCGAACCTGGATCACAGCCTCCACTAACCGCATGAAATCTCGGCTTCGTCAGGCAGCGGGACCCCCACCGGCACACGGTAAGACCTCCACGGAGTAATCTGGAAACCCCCCGTTTCCCGGTGAGAAATCTTTCCAGCTAAGGTTCATGTCTCAGACTCCGGAGGAATAAAACGTTACCGGGGCGAGCCGTGCAGTTACTGCGGGGGGAGCTGAGGGGTCTGGTGGTTAAAGTAGTTGTTTTTTTTGGGGGGGGGGCACTTTGGCACGCACGGTTAAACCGGGTCAGACACCTGTGCGGCTCGTTATTCTGACTTTGCTCAGCAGTCATTTTCCTCACCGGGCTGAAAGCAGCCGCAGGAGGAGGTTAGCGTGTTTCCCATGGCTACACCAAGCGTCCACACGGGGTTATTTGCATTCCTCTCCGGCCTGTGGCGACACACACACGCACGCGTTATTATTATTATCTTAAAACTGGCAGCCAGATAACTGAGCCGGGAGTCCGGGGCAGAGCGGCCAGGTCAGCTCCGGGGGTCGTGACGTCGCCGGGGCTGCAGGTTCACCGCTCCGTCACTTGGGCCCCTTCTGTTGACCGCACGCCCACCTTCCCCCGCAGCCGCACGGTTTCATAATCTAATGCTCTCGTTTCTTCTGCCCTCCTGTTGATCTCCGTGTGGAAGCCCGAGCATGAGGAGGATCGGTGGCCGTTACCCTGCCCACACCGGAGGCTGCTGGTAGGGATGGTGTGGCTGTGAAGAGCCGGTGTGACGCGCCTGTGGTCGGGGGAAGAAGTGCCTGGACAACATGACTGTTTTCAACCCGGAAAATGTGGAGGAATTTTATGACATCGGGGACGAGCTGGGGAGGTGAGTCCACACCGAGCTGATTTCTAATGCGCATCAACTTCCCGTTTCTGTGCCCGGGGCGGGGGTGCTGGGAAAATACCTGTTTTTCATGTCGATAATAAATGTTTCAAAGTTTATTTAGCCCACATGTGCAGAGCTGTGGTCCACGCGTGTCTGAACCCCCCCACTGTGAGTGAGTGAGTGTGATAAGCTGTGATTAATGCAGTCTATAATGCAGTGTCGTCAGTGATGAAGAGTTGCTGTGTCTTCCTGGGCTTTATTGCAGGAGGCTGATGTAGCTCTTTGCAGGGAGAAGGTGTCCATCCTGGCTGTCACTCCGTGTGTGATTGGTCAGAGGTGGATGCTGATGATCAGGGTGAAGAAGCTGACTGTGTATGAAGCACCGTGACAGAGCTGGACCTGAGTTTGGTTTGCAGGGCAGCTCGAATGTGGCAGATGATTCCAAACATAACGTGTTTGTTGACTGGAGCAAACTGCTGACCTGGCTTTACCTTCCTCATCGAAAATCTCTCGTGCCGTCATCTTTGCTCGAGCTGAGCTGACAAAACCAGTCAGGGAGTGAGTTTGTTTGGGCTGTTGGAGAAGAGCGAGGACGTGCAGCAGCAGCACAGAGTTGATCTGGATGTTCTTAAGCCTTCATTTGAACCAAATCCAGGTTTTGGTTAATTGAACAGCTTCACAAATGTTGTTTTTTAATCATAAGTTAGTTTAAGTGAAAGCAGATTTTCCTGTTTTCACTGTGACTTTATTGCTGATTCGGTAAAAAAATGTCATTACGTAATAATAAAGGCAGAAATGATGCGTTCCAGCTCCCAGATGTGAGAGTCACAGCTGTGGAAGTGGGTCTCTGAGTTTGTGGTTATGAAACGTTGGTAATAATCAGCCAGCTGTTTTCTGCTCCTCGGCCTTTGTGGCGTTGCTGATTGTGTGTCGTGTTCACCTTCCTCTCTGAGGAAAGCCTGCGCGGCTGCAGCTGCTGTAGCAACAGAGACGATCGGGGAGCTGTGTGTGATGGGATTGAGTTTCTGGCTGAGGTAAAGTAGACGGCTACGCCAGCGTGATAGTCTCTATTGGCTGTTGCTCCAACGCTGGGATCCGCTCTCTGTTGAGGAAGGATGGGGAGAACAGGGAGCTGATATCACGTCATCCGCCATCATTATTAATCATCCTAAATATTCCAACACCTGCAGTGTTGGGATAGAAAATATTTGCTCGTGTCGTCAGTCCTGTCATTTATGCATGCTGTTTGTTGGAGAGCGCTCCAGCAGCAAGGACTCAGAAATGAGTGTGTCTGTGGGAAACTTATTTTGCATGGGCACAAAGAGGCAAGCACCATGTGTGCAGCTGGAGCTAGACTTGTTCTTGTTTCTGCTGCGTCTCTTATGGTGAGGCTTGTGTTACTTCTCTCATCAGTCACTCAGAATCTGACGTATCTGAGTCCGGTGACGTCCTGCAGCGTCCTCAGGCGTCTGCTTGCCGCCGCGTCACGTTTTAATGAGCAGATCTTTCCCATAGATGCTGCACACAGGTGGTCTTATGTAAGACTCGGGCGCACTGATCACTCCCAAACTGGGCCTGACACCTCTGCATTAGCAGCCCACGTGTGTTGAAACGAGGCAAACGGAGACATTTCTGTGCAGCTAAGCGTGCTGGGTCTGAATTGGAGCACTTGTACTGTACAAACAGACGAGCTGCACAGGAAGAAGAAATCAGAGGTTCTGGATGAAAATGCAGAAACTCCAGTGACTGTGCAGTCGTTATATATTTGTGTTAGTATTGGATGAACTTTAGCATAAACCAGAGTCTGTTAATGATGAAAGCTGCTGAGTCTTTCACTGTAAAGCCCAACATGCCTGCAGACTGAGGGCTTTTGATCCGACTGTACTCCAGGCCTGCTGCTGGCTGCACTTGGATTAAGGCCCATTCAGTTTGGCAAAATGGGAAAATGGGAATTCGCCCAAGCGGTGAGTCTATCCTGTCACTGACACCGACACTGCCTGCTTATGCATGGAGGACCTGATGCCCGGTGAAGCCGAGCATCATGCATGAGCATCTACGCGCAGCGAGCACGCAGGAACGAAGCCAAAGCATACATGTTAGCAGTGCGATCTTATATAATGCTGTCTATGAATGTTGCATTATTGCTGAAGCTCTGCTCAGAATCGCTGCTTCATCTTGATTTGTATCACCTCTGTGATCGGTGGGCCATTGCTCGCCCAGTTTTTGGAGCCTTCCAGAACAAAACCTGGAAAACTGGAAATATTAGACGCGCCTAATAAAGTGTCAGTCAGAGAAACGATTGTGAAACTGCAGGTCAGCCGTTGCGTTGAAGATCCGGGCAAAGCAACAAGTTGTTGCTTCCAGAGCTGCGCTTTAAAAAGTGTGATGTGTCTGCACAAGTGCATCAAACTCATCCCTTTGAGTTTTCCCCAAAAACAAAAGTGCAGCATGGAGTTTAGTTTAAAGGCCTCCTGACAGATGTTGACCACATCTGTGCTCAGCTGGTCTCTGTAACTGCTTCACAGAAAAGTCTCACTTCACGCCTCAGATTGTTGAAGATGTCGTAGTTTGCCAGCATCTCAAAGGGTCTGTTGTTTGACGCCTCCTCAGAATGATGCTCAGGTGTCGGGTGAAGCACCGCTGCAGTGCTTTAATGGTGGTGTGTGTGTGTGTGTGTGTGTGTGTGTGTGTGTGTGTGTGTGTGTGTGTGTGTGTGTGTGTGTGTGTGTGTGTGTGTTAGACGGCACAGACACAAGCATTCAGGCTCAGAGCTTCTGTCGCTGCAGGGCTTTTTTTACCCCATCAAACCTTTTAGTTCCTCCAGTTAGATCAGCAGAAATAGAAAAAGCTGTAATTGCTTCCATTATCAGTGCCTCTGCAGTGCATTATGGGTCGTGCGTGACAGCCGGCGTGTGTGTTTTCTTAATTAAATGATTAAGCAACGGTGTTTGTGTGGTGCTCCTCTGCAGAGGCCTCAGTTAGCAGGTGCTTTATGACACATAATACAATCAGCTGTCCATGCAGGGAGTTCCTCGCCTCGTCGATGGACTTCAGCTGCACCTCCTTGGGCTGGTCCTCAGTGAGCCCAGTGCAGCAGGACTTGAACCAGTTATCCACCTGCTGCAGGTGCTTGTTAGAAATCTCCAAACTAGAAGGCTCCGACTGCAGGGTGAGACCCGCTGGAGAGGCAGCTGAAGGAAATGCAGCTCTGACCTACGCAGGGAGAAAGCTGGAGATGATGCATGACTCCAGAGACAGATGGGAAATCACCGTCAGTGCTGCCCGGCTGATATCTGATCTCTGAGTGGATGCCAGTACTGCTCTAGAATAACAGTAAACCTCTGTAGGTCTGAGCAGAGCATGCGGTCATGCTGCATGCAGCAGGCCTGCGTGAAGAAACGGGCGCAGCTTGCACTCCAGTCATGTGAGTCAAGTTCTGCTTTCCTTATTTTTTGGATTCATTTATTTCTTTTGCAGTGGGAGATTCAGGGCTGTCACGTGTTCAGAGATACGCTGACTCAGCCTTTCTTTCCTGATTGAGAGAGAAAAATGACACGAGCCCACTCCCACTGTGGAATCCATTTGCTGTGTGCTTTTCATCGGGTCCACGTGGCAGTTTTACACTTTGCATATTTTTGCAGGGCTCTGCTGACCGCTGTGTGGCTCTCTACCAGTTAGCCCTCCTAGTGTGTGTGTGTGTGTGTGCGTGTGTGTGTGTGCGTGTGTGTGTGCGTGTGTGTGTGTGCGTGCGTGTGTGTGTGCGTGTGTGTGTGTGTAGAGGAGGAGGGGAGGCTGTAGCTCTAAAAAGATTCTGCAATGCAAATGAAGGTAGAAGCTTTAAGCTGAGGCTGCGTTTGGGCTTCATCAGGAAAAACTCCCCAAAGACGAATCGCTGTGAACACAAAACAGGATTATTTGAAGAATCCACCCAGGATCCTGTGTCCCGGAGTCCCTGAACAAATATTTTCTTCATTTATTGTTTATGGAGGACACTGACAGTAAATCTGCTCCAGACAGTCAGCAGCAGGAATCGGCCCCAACCAGCTACTGACCTACATTTACCCCCCACCACCACCCTTGGTTATTCTGTTGGGTGGAGGGGCAGTCTGGGAAGCAGGAGTGGCCTTGATGAAGCCTGTCACTCAGCCACCCTCCCCCCCGTCCTCCCCCTGGATCCCAGGGAGCGGCAGTGCGGTCCTATCAGGACTACTGTGCTGCAGCACTACATTAGCTCCAGTGTGGTCGTTGCATACTTTGGTGTGACTGTCCAACACAATAGGTTTATAAAAACCTTAAAGTGGAGGACTTTTGAAAATGAGCACAGGGCCGCTCGTCTGCTGACGCCTGCTCTGCATTAAATCCATCAGTGACTGTGGGTGTGAACAAAGACGAGAGCACCGCCCGTCAAAGCTCCATCACAGACAGCCGCTGCATGAAGGCAGAGAGAGGCAGCACTGATGCTGTTGTACCGTCTGCACTTTGTTTTTTTATTGCTGTGCGATCTCATCATTTGCATTTTGGAAGCCTCGCAGGAAGCTGCGTGTCTGTGTCGTCTCTCTGAACTGTGGTCGCTGCCTGGATGCATCTCGCTGTCACATCTATGTATCTGACCGCCACACCGAAGTCAGAGGACTCAGCATCCTCCACGTCGTTGATTCTGCCGTCATAAAGATGCACGCGCTCAGTGAAGCCAGATGGAAAAGTTTTTCAAGCCGCACTGAGCTGCTCTGTTTGCAGTTTGTCCAAACTGCAAACAGACGAGCTATCAGGATAACAACACGACGACGTGTTCTCTTAGTCCTCGCTGAATATTCAGAGGCTCTGTGTAAGAAGTGATTTGCAGCCGATCTCATGCTGACAGAGTTCAGCCTCAGTCTGAGTGAGAAATCCTTTCAGCGTTTCTTCGTTGCCCACATTTAGCATCAGCTGTCCAACTGCACGTTTCTCTGATCGTGATATTAGTACGTGTCACAGAGCACTGAGAGAGGCTGCTGTGGGATACAGCCATTAATCCTCCCAGATTTCAGGGTTTTCTGATCAGGCGTCTTTATTATTGACGTATCCCTGGATCATTAAATGAGTAAATAAAATATAGAAATATTAATAGAATTAATGCAATTTTAAAATTTGTTGTTATATTAGTTTATTGTGTAATAAAACAAATCTTTAGAGTGATTTAAAAGGACTCTTTTAAAAGCATTTCAGGACCGTGTGCGCTGCTTTTATCCCCGTGCTCGGTGCTCGGCGTCGGGCAGGTTGGACGAGCTGTTAGTCGATCTGTTGAGGAAGCTTTAGGCTGCAGCAGCAGAGGCCGAGCAGTCAGCCCCCTCTGATCCTGCAATGTGAGGAGGCAAAATAACCACGTTTCAGTCCATATGTTCCAGCTTATCAGAAGATTGGTGGTAACTGGAAACCAAGCCTCAATAACCAGGTCAAAGGGCCAAACTGGGAGTCATGTAGATGCTGGTCATAAATCCTGATCAGAGGAAAACATCCCGACTCTTGTTTGTGTATCTGCTGCTTCGCTGTATGTATTTACATTCAGTCATTGAGTGCACGCACACCCTGAGCTTCAGCCTGCCAACATTAGCAGGAGTAATAAGTAGTACGTGAGTCAGAGGAGCATCTAATGTTCCTGCGGCCTCGAGATTATCATTAAAGACAGACGAGGTGGGAAAAACGTAAACAAGACGAGTCGGCTGTGAGAAGAGTTGATCAGGACTCTGAGGCTGACTTTAGTCTGTTATTGCTGCACTTAGACTCACATTGAAATCGGACTCACTTGGATTAGCCTCAATTATTTTCAATTAATCTCTGCAGTCAGGGCGGGATGATTGGATTCCTGCCTGCTGTGGTAGCAGGTGAATGGCAGGGAGCGGCGCTGTGCGTGAAGCTGAGTGTGTGTTGGAGCGCACGTGGGACGAGCTACAACCCTTTGTGGTCAATTAGGGGAGACGTGCAGGCGGTGGAGCGTGGAAACCGAGGGGTGGTAAACGGTGGAGGAAGACAACTTCTCCCGTTTCTGTCTCTCGTCTTCTGCAACGTTCCAAGCTTAAACTCTCACTCAGGGTTTTCCTCCTGCTGTGAACGACTCTGACGACTGCACTTAGACGAACGCCACGCAGCCTTCTTCTCTCGGCACATAAACGACTCTGAACTAATGAAAACGTGCACTTGGAAGCTTTTGTTTCACGTTCACTTGAACTGATATCGATGCGTAACTCCTCGTCTCATTCCTTGGAATATCTGTCTCCTTTTCACACATGCTCGCCCACTCGTGACAGTGAGGGCCAATCAAAGGCTGCGATGAAAGCAGCACCAGACCACGGAGGTCTGCAGATGCTGCTTTCAGTATCTGGTCAGTGTGCAGAGAGCAGACAAACCCGAGTGGGTACAAACAAACAATCACACCAACGTTGGGTTGATGCAAAGAAACATTCACGGATGCTGAACCTGTGAGCCGAGAAAGATGCTCATTTGGACTCAACTACACGTCCAACTCGTCTCTGCGTCCTGTGTGGGCTTACATGAAGGATCGTTTGAAACACTACGAGTAAAATCTCATTAATCCTTGAGCGGATTAAGTTTCACTGTTGGAAAAATATTCTGAGGGCTTAAAGTATAACTATTGTAAACAGTGTTTTAGGTAAAGCCTCATTTGGGCTGCGGCGCTGCAGATGCGGCGCTGATGTGATGTCACATGACTACATTTCAGACCTCAGTGTTGATCAGGGAGCAGACATGCAGTCTCGCTCCCTAGATTTGATGGTTTTGTTACAGACTTTAAAAACGTGTTTTTCTTTTCTTTCACAAATGTGGGATTAAATTGTGTTAAAATGCACAAATCAGTGATGTCATGTTTTGTGACGAGGACCCAGGCACAGAGAGACTTGATGGATTTAAGAATCTTATGATTTAATAAAGAAATTTGCAGACTTGCACAGAGAGGGTAAAATTATGATGACTGATAACGGAGACGAAGACAACAGACGACGAGGACAAGGACAGGGAGGAACAGGGGTTTAAATGCACCAAGGAGACAGACAGAGAGAACTCCGGACAACTGGAGACATTTAGGGATGCAGGGACTGACAGAGACGGGGTAGAAGTCTCATCCTGACAAGTACAGTTTATCTTGCCTGGCTGGGCAGCTCTCTGGGTGCTCTGTAATTTCCACTGTAATTTAATTTACTTATTGACATTTTTAATCTTCATGTAAACGAGCATAATGCAACGTCACACTGCTGATATCTTCAATGTGGCTATAGCTCAGGTGGCAGAGCAGGTCAGTTACTGAAGGTTGGCGGTTCGATCCCAGTCTGCATGCCAAATAGCTTTGAGCAAGATTCTAACCCCATGTTGCTCTCCGTAGTATCAATGTTAGATACTTAAGTGAATGAATTAGTTGTATGAAGTGCTTTGAGTGATCAGACAGAGTAGAAAAGCGCTATATAAGAACCAGTCCATTTCACTCATCTGCTGATTTATGTGTCCTGATGTTTTGTTTCTGTTTCAGGTCGTGGTTCTGAGATTATTAATGGGAAAGAAGTCGAGCCACACTCACTGCCTTTCATGGCTTATGTGAGAAGTGTGACTAATTCTTGGTGTGGAGGGACATTAATCCATCCACAGTGGGTGCTGACAGCTGCTCACTGCACTGGGTAAGAATCTGAGACCTTATTTTAAAAATAATGCAGTATTTATTTTCAATGACTATTATTCCTTCAGTAACTACCCAGAGGTCACTGCCCTCACCTGTGGTCACGAGCTCTGGGTAGTTACTGAAAGAATGAGATCAGGGCCAGAGCAGCAGGAATGTGCTTTCTGTAAGCCATGACTGGCCTCTTCTTTAGAGAAATGGTCATTCATCCAGTCATTGGAGAGAAGCTCAGCTGCTTCTCTTCCACAGTCAAAATAATACACACTGCTATAATTATGCATGCAAAGCTCATAAATTTTAATGGAGAGAATGAATATAAAGAATATTTAAAGTTGAATTCTTGTTCATAGATTTATTTGTTTTACAGAGGTGTTCTAGAAAATGTTATTTGTGATGGAATAACAAGGAAAGTACGGAGCCCTGTGAGGGACATGGGAGGAAAATAAATGAAAATAAAATTTTGCGAGATCCTGAGTTACTTTTGTGAGATCTCGGGATCTCTCAAAATCTTAGGCCACATCTTTCGGAGGCCGCCAGAAGGAAGCTGACAGGGAGGTCGAGGCACAGTGTGCCGGGAGTGCGGTATTCTCGCCGTCTCTTGTGGCCTCGACCTCCCAGTCAGCTATCGAGCGCAGCGGGTGGGTAACAGACGACTACGAAAACATCGGAGCACTTTTTACAAATATGTGATGTCTTGATAAACCAATCAGATATTTGAAGTTTACACAGCTACATTTTTGCCTGATATCTTAAAATGTTATTTTGTGACCCAGAAAGAATAATATTAAAACTAAGCAGCTGCCACCATTGTTGGAAACTGGAATTGGCTGGGCTGCGCTATGAATTCTGGGATAGGATGGGCCACAAAGGAGGTCTCGCAAAAGTTCATCTTCATTTTTTTCCTTCCATGTTTGTTGTGGGGGAAAGAAGTGTTGCACTCACTTAAAATAACACAGAAGCCACAGCTACATACACATCAAACATTTGATACATTTCTTCATCTAAAACATTTTATGTACATTTAAATTTCTTCATTCAGCTGGAAGAGAAAATAACGCAGATTCACCCAAAGCTCAGTAACAGCTATAACCCAGCCATATGTAGTAATACACAATAATAAGGAACTATGATGACTGTTTTAGAAGCCGCTGACCTGTTAACCTTTTAAATATGTAAACCTTCATCACCAGATTGTGTTTTTTCTTTTGCAGGAGTTACTGGGTGATGCTGGGAGCCCACTCCAGAACGAAAAACGAACATTCCAAGCAACTCCGAGTCGTCGAGAAAAGTTTTCCTCATCCTGGCTACTGTTGTGCAAAGCACGACAATGACCTCATGTTGCTGAAGGTAAGGTGATATATCAGGGTCTGATGATGATGATGAGATGATGAGATAGCCTTTATTTGTCAGTTGCAGGTCTTTTGCCCACAACCGATACAAATGATGTAAATGCACTGCTTCTTATTTAGCACCTTTCTACTCTACCTGAGCACTCAGAGCGTTACACAACATGGCTTATTCACCCGAACACATCTTTCTGTGCTTAAGTGCTTTCTATCTAACATTGACACACACTCACACTCTAACGTAGCATCAGAGCGCATCGTGGGGTTCAGTATCTTGCCAAAGGATTTCTGACATGCAGACTGGAGAGACCAGGGATCAAACACCAAACCATCCGATTAGTAGATAACCTGCTGTACCTCCTACAGCCAACTCAGGTTTTGCTTACTTAACTAAAACTTAGTTTCATTTTTTAAAATATAAAATGTATTTCCATGTCTTTATAGACATGTTTCAACTCAGCACTGCACATATTTCATATTTTCCAAGCAAAATATTAGAAATAAATGAGTGGTGCTACAACTCTTTAGCAAATATCTGTTTATTTAATGTAGTTAATGTAGAGAGATTCATCACCAATATCTGAGATTCTTTTTAACTTTTTTTCAGCTTAAAGAACCGGTGAGGAAAACCAGGGCAGTGAAGTGGCTCAAGTTTGGCAACACTGTGAGAGACCCGGCAGCTGGCAGCACGTGTCTGGTGGCTGGATGGGGAGAAACTGAAACAAAACAACCATCAGATGTCCTCAAGTCTGTCAATGTGACTGTGGTCGACAGGCAGACGTGCAACTCTCGTGATTATTACAACCACGACCCTGTTATCACTGATGACATGATATGTGCTGGTTCAGATGGTACAAACGTCGCTGATACCTGTCAGGTACGTATGAAGAATACATGTATTTTTCCTTGTTTGAAGTAAATGTGCATTCAGCTCAACACCTGAAACACTGTCATGTGTTTGTTCTTGCTGCAGGGGGATTCAGGGGGCCCGCTGTTGTGCGATGGAGCGCTGGTTGGAGTCACTTCTTTTGGAGAGGATTGTGGTGTCATTAAAAAACCTGGAGTCTACTCGTTTGTCTCAGAGGGACAGCTGTCCTGGATCAAAACCACGATGAAGTTATTCTAAATGTGTGAAACCACCAGCATGATTTGATTTCACAGGTGTCAAACTCCAGGCCTCGAGGGCCGCTGTCCTGCAGGTTTTAGATGTGTCCTTGATCCATCACAGCTGATTTAAATGCCTTAATTACCTCCTCAACATGTTTTGAAGTTCTTATGAAAGGTACTGGTAATGAACTCATCATTTGATTCAGGTGTGTTGACCCAGGGTGAGATTTAAGACCTGCGGGACACCAGCCCTCAAGGCTTGGAGTTCGACACCCCTGCTGTAGACCGTTATCCGGTTTATAATTTCATTGCTCCTTTTAAATCTTATGATAGCTTATTTTCTGCTAGCTTGCTGCACTTTTTTTATAGATTCTGCACTTGGCTAGTCTGCTGCATACACAATTGGAAACACAGTTTGGCATTTTACCCTCTTTCACCATACAAACTGTACAGAAACAGGGTTATTTCTAATAATAATTTTTTCAAATAAATTAAAGAATTCCCAAACATAAGTGTTCCTGGTTGTTGCAGTAAAACCAGGGAGAAGCATTTTTTATGTATATACAAAACCAATGAACGTAAAATATTATTGTATTATATCCTACTGTTTTATTGTAGGGTCTACTTTACAATATAAAGCACCTGAGGTGACTGTTGCTGTGATTTGGTGATGTTTGAATAAAATTTAATTTAATATAATTGAAATTGAAAATAAAAAAGTGAGATATTCAGACTGTCAAACAGATTCAACACATCTTATACAACCAACTGAAAATGAGGCTTGTGGACAGTTTTTTTTGAAAAAGACATTCTTTACATTCTTATTTGTTCCATTTCACATTATGACTGTGTGCTTGATATACTTGCTACTTTTTTACTTTCTAATAAAGCTGGAGGCATGAATAAATAAAGACACAATTCCTTCTCTTTTTCTTTATTTGTTTGCACTGCAGTTTCAAACTGTACCTTTCAAATGTCATTGTTAAAATGCTTAGAGAGTTTTATTGTCATTGTGCAGTTTCTTGCAAAGTGAAAGTGGGTAGCTGGGCCACAAGGTGCAAAAGTAAAGAAGGGAAAACAATATACAATGAGGGGGGGAAATAAATAAAAACCAATATATATGTATACATGTGTGTGAGTGAACTAATATACATGGTGTATACATAGGAAAGATTGAAACAGAAACATAACTACAGTATGCAACTGTACAGAATAGAATAAAATAAAATACTATATACAGTAGAATAAAATAGAATAAAATATACAATAGGATATAAATAGAATACAAATTCTGTATACAACTGAGTAAAAATACAACGATGACAGAAAGGAATATTGCACTTCGTGTTATTGCAGATGTGTGGATGTGTGTGTTTGATCAGTTGGAGTCTTTGTTGTGGAGTCTGACAGCAGTGGGGAGGAAAGACCTGCGAAATCTCTCCGTCCCACACCGTGGGTGTAGATGATCAATAGCAGCATTAGAGTGGATGTGTTGGAGAAGTCTGCCACCAAGGACTTGTTTAACTTCCTCAGTGCCCTCACCCCCAGTGATGGGCAAGTCTTTCTCCTCATCTTCAGACTCTGCTTCCTCTACAAAAGACATGTCACTGGGATTAAGGAAGTCCTCGAAATACTCCTTCCACCAGCATGCAATATCCTCAGTTCAAATGATCAGCGCTCCACTCACACTATACACAGTGCAGATATATCACTGCTTTCCCCTCTCGAGTTCCCTGATGGTTTGCCAGAACCCTTCGAGGCAGTCCAAAAGTCTTTTTCCATGGCCTCTTCGAATTCCTCCCACACCCAGGTTTTTGCTTCACCCACTGTACAAGCTGCGTTCCACATGGCCTGTCAGTACATATCTACTGCCTCTGAAATCCCACAGGCTAACTAAGCTTGATAGGACTCCTTGTGCCTGATTCTTCCCTTTACCTCCAGTGTCTACCATCTGGTTCAGGGTTACCACCGCGAATGCTGCTGGAGCTCTGCCTGAGGTGGGAGTTGAAGAACTCGCAGATCAGGCATTCCCAGCGCACCCTCCTTATTCGTTTAGGCATGCCATGTCTCCAATTGGGCAAAGCTGTTAAAGACCCTGCAAGTGTCTGGACGGGTATAAATGCCTGATCTGCGAGTCATATCATATCTAGCAGTAGAGGAACGCTGTCTGATTTGACTCTGCACTGTACCACTGTACATGGTTGAAATGACAATAAAAGTAACTTGAGGAGATGGAGAAAAGCAGCAGAACAGCACAGAGAGGACTGAGAGGCCATGACACAAACCTGGTCTGTAGTGATGGCCACATGAAGCTTTCTGAAGCATTAACGCATCAAAAAAAAGGCTTCATTACTCCAAGCTTTTCAACACAGTCCTCTTTGGGGACATCTGGTGGCCAAAAATATGAAGAGCAGCTTGAATCTACAATTTAAATAAACTGGTTTGTTATTATTGCCCACTCTACAGAGCTCAGTTTATTTAACATCATCTGACAGCTCTGTGTGATATCACGCTGCCATTGTGGTGCTTTGAACAGGTTTTTTGTGGTAGAAATATTGTTACATCCATAATAATAATTTCAATGAATTAACCTTCCTTGTTTAAACATGTGCTATGATGTGTTCTCACTTTGCTTCTGACTTCTTGACATTTGTAAACATAAAAGATGAAAATGCATCATATCTTGTAAAATGCTGCTGCTGTGAGGTCCCGCCTCTATGTGGTATATTTGTATAGCGCTTTACTTAGTCCCTAAGGACCCCAAAGCACTTTACACTACATTCAGTCATCCACACATTCACACACTGGTGATGGCAGCTACATTGTAGCCACAGCCACCCTGAGGCGCACTGACAGAGGCGAGGCTGCCGGACACTGGCGCCACCGGGCCCTCTGCTTTTGATGGAGTAATGAAACAAATCTTGTTGTGTCGGCTATTTTAACATCTTTGGAAAAAAACAAAACAAAACACTAAGCCAGTATTTTGGTAACATGTTGAATTTCCTGTGGACTGTTATCTTTCAAGGTAAGGCTCACAGTGTTCCTCTGATCACTGTATCAAACACTGATTTCCAATTCTGAGAATCACTCATCTATGAATGCAGCCAGTTTCTTCTATGATTTTCCAAACAAAGACAGTTTTACCAACCTCAGATAAGTTCAAGTTCAGATTTATTTATATAGCACTTTTTAAAGACAACAAGTGTTGAAGAAAGTTCTGTAAAATAAAATCGACAAAGCAGAAGACATAAAAGTATTTTAGGAGAGAATAAAATCATTAAAAGAATAATGGTAACAAAGTCATGATGAATCAAAAGCCAGAGAATAAAAATGGGTCTTTAGACTGATTTAAAAAGTATCCAGTGTTGGGGAGGACCTAATATGCAAAGGCAGTGTATTCCACAGTTTGGGGGCAGTCACAGCAAATGCCTGGTCTCCTCTGTGTTTCAGTCTGGACCTAGGGACAACCAAAAGTATTTGGTCTGCAGACCTCAAGGATCTTCACAAGGGGAGAATACCAGGTTAGGAGATTAGCAAGATACGTAGGGGCTAGTCCATGCAACGTCTTAGAAACAAGTCTTAAGATCTTAAAGTCAATTTGAAAGCTGACTGGCAGCCAGTGTAGTGATGCAAGTATAGGAGAAGAATGATCTGATTGCGTGTGCCAGTTAGGAGTCGTGCTGCAGCGTTTTGGACTAGCTACAGTTGGCCATTTGATGAAGAGGTAACACCAGAGTAGAGACTATTACAGTAGATGAGATGAAGGCATGGATTGCTGAAACAGAAAGGGCTTAACCTTTGCAATTATGCAAATATGAAAGAAGCTGGTTTTGAATACATTAACTAAATGTACATTGAAATCTACATTGACCCTAAATTTCTTGCAAACAGTTTTTTATAGTATCCTAAGGTGTCAAGGTCATAACAGTCAGAAGGACCCAAGACAATGACCTCAGTTTTCTGTTCATTTAGAGCCCTCCATGCCTTGACATCTTCTAGACAATCAAACAGTCCCTTCCCAGGATTCACCGATTTCCATTTCAGTGGAATATGAGAATCATCTGCATAGCAATGAAACAAATTACCTTTTTTTAAAACAAGTGATCCCAACGGGAGCGTGTAAATTCAAAAGAGGACTGGGCCAAGGGTAGAGACTTGGCCCTTGGCAAAAAAGCGTGGTCCTTGGAGACAATGTGTCTCTGAATCTAACAGAGAAAGTACGATTAGATAAGTAGGATTTAAATCATTCCAAAGCAAGCCCTTTAATTTCAGCACATTGTTCCAGTCGAGAGATAAGAATCCTGTGATCTACCATGTCAAAAGCAGCACTGAGGTCTAATAATATTAAAATAGCAGAATCTATAAATCTATAGTCTGTAAAAGTTAAAAGGTCATTAAAAACTTTTAAAAGAGTGGTTTCAGTGCTGTGGTGCATTTAAAACCGGACTGCAATAGTTCACCAATGTCATGTTGATCTAAAAAGGTTTAGAGCTGCAAAAGGACAATTTTCTACAGAACCTTTGACAAGAAGAACAATTTAGAGATTGGACGGTAGTTTGATAGAACTGTTGGGCCCAGATTCTGTTTTTTAAGGATTGGTTCAACCACGGCATGTTTAAAGTCAGAGGGAACAGACCCAGACTGAAGACTGGTATTAACAATGGAAGCAAACATGTACAGTGGTTTGCAAAAGTATTCGGCCCCCTTGAACTTTCCCACATTTTGTCACATTACAGCCACAAACATGAATCAATGTTATTGACGTGAAAGACCAACACAAAGTGGTGCACAGGTGAGAAGTGGAATGAAAATCATACATGATTCCAAACATGTTTTACAAATGTTTTGTTTTTTTTTGTGATCACACTTGCTAATGTGTATCTTCCTCCAGAATGGGATAGAAAATTCTTTAAGTCATTTTTTGATGCTTTAATTATAGCGAGCGAATGTATTTTAATCTTTGGTGAAGACTGGAATACTATTCTGAATTTCTCCCTGGATACAATAAGTTGTAAGAGACAAAAATTATGATCTCGAAAAAGAACGGAAAAACTTAGAAATCAAACTATAACAAAACGGTAAAGATTAAAGCTTGGCCAACAAAATTAGAGTACTTCCATCCTGGCGCGAGGCGGTAATATCTGATCTACCTAAAGAGGGTAAAATTACTATGAATCTTACCGCCCCATTTCTATTTTGAATGTAGACTATAAATTATGTACCTTAAGAATCTCTAAAAGACTAGAAGTCCATTTGCTGGATTTAATACATTAAGATCAGACAAGCTTCATAAAAGGCCACCAAACACATGACAGTATTAGAAGAACGCTTCATATTATAGAAGAAGCAAAGAATCACAAACTGAGTATGGCATTAATAAGCCTAGACACAGAAAAAGCCTTTGACTGGGTCAGCTGGCCCTTTCTTTATAAGGTACTAGAGCGTATAGGATTCAACAATAAGTTAATTAAATGTATACAATTATTATACAGTAATCCAGTGGCCAGGTTAAAGATCGATGGACATCTTTCCTCTAGTTTTTAATTGAATAGAGGCACCCGGCAAGGCTGCGGGCTCAGCTCTTCGCTTTGTTTATAGAGCCTTTAGCCCAGGCAATAAGACAGAACCCAGAGGTAGTTACTCTTTTTGCTGACGATATCATTACTTACCTCCAGAATCCTGATATGTTACTCCCTGAGCTCATGTCAACTCTGAAAGAGTTTGGGGCCCTGTCTGGTTATAATTTAAATATAACTAAAACACAAGTCCTGACAATTAACTACTCTTCATGCAATTCAATAAAACAAAATTATAAGCTAAAATGGGATGCAAACAAGATTAAGTATCTTGGACTTTACATTTCACAGGATTTTAATAGTCTGTTCACTTTGAACTTTGATAATCCAACTCAATTCAGGAGCACATAACTCGCTGGTCTTCACTAACTCTGGACTTTAGTACAAGAATACAGATTGTGAAGATAAATCTGTTGCCCAGATTCTCATATCTTTTTATGGCTCTACCCATTAAAATCCCAGATTTCCAATTCAATGCTTGGGACAAGTTAATATCACGCTTTATATGGGCAGGAGTTAGACCAAGGATAAAATTATAAACCCTTCAAATCGATAAAGAACATGGCGGACTGGCCCTCCCTAACTTAAAGGAATATTACTTGGCAGCACATCTGAGAAATATTGTTTGTTGGTGTTCCCCAGCAGTGGAGGACCAATGGAAACAAATTGAGTTGAGCATGGGCAAGTCTCCTCCCCAAACATGATTGGTAGAAAAATCAAGGAGAGGCAACTTAAATAACCATATTGTGAAAAACACTCTTAATTTGGCATGAAGTTGTTAACAAATACAATCTGGGGAGCAATATTAAAATTTTGTTCCCACCTGGAAGGTTAGATCCAACATACTCAGAGCAGTTAAACCTTTTCCAATCCAACCTGTGTCTGTTTGTGGAAGGGGGCACTTTTAAATCATTTTTAAAAATTGAAAACAGAATTTAATCAGGAAAATGCAGACCTGTTCAGATATCTGCAGGTACGTCATTTTTGCAATTTAGAAATAAAGGGTGCCTCCTCCCCAGTAATTGATCTTGTCAAAGTTTTTACAAATGCCTACAGATGTCTGCCCACTAAAGCCATGTCTAAACTCTACGAAGGGCCACAAAAACAAAATGGCAACAACACACTATATCCATTCACTTCCGCTTATCCTTTTCAGGGTCGCGGGCAGTGCTGGAGCCTATCCCAGCTGTCATAAAGGCAGCTTAAGAAGCTTAAGAAGGCTTAAGAAGGATCCTGTCCGAGTGGACTTTCTTCCTACGATTAAAAGGTCACCTTTTTCTACAACGTTGGACTAAATGGCATAAATACAAGCAGAGCCTTGAAGATTCTGTGACTTAATTCAGCTAATATATCTTGTATGATGCCTGGAACAGTGCCCCAATTTGTTCCTCTTTTGTTCTTGTTGGGTTTTTTTGTTTCTTTTTGTTGTTTTTGTTATATTCTTGTCGCAATGAAAATTTAAATTAAAGTTGTTGGGGTTTTTTAAAGTACAGCAATACTACTTTTATAAAGCTATTTGTAGTAAAAAGATATAATTGAAAAGGTGACATCCCAAAATCAACCAGAATGGGTTCAATTTCATTATAAAACTCATAACTGATCCCTTATTTGTTTAAAAATAAAGGATACAAATAGCATGTGTTGTTTTCAAAAACGGGATTGTAGTAGTGTCATTGCAACTAAAAATCTCCACTTAGAATGAAAAAGTAGCATCACAGGAAGAGTAGTCCCAGGTGGGGCTGTGGGAAATGGCAAGGACCTGGTTTAATTTTGATTCTTCACTGGAGAACATAGATTTGGTTACATATATTTAGACATTCATTTGCCACGATCTTCAGTATGTAGGCTCTCAGGAAGAGATACAGTTCAATGGATTCATCTGATGTGCTTAGTGGAAGTCAGAAGTTCTCTGACACTATAAGGCAACACAAGCTGAAAACTGTTTCATCACAGGTATAATTTCCTCTGTTGGCATTCCTGCTTACAAGCATCCACTGCCATTATAATGTACAAACATGAAAAGTCTATTGTTAGAACAGTAAAGTCTTCATGGTATACCTCTATTTCTCTTTTGCTTGGGTGGCAGCTCTATGCTTCCGTAACTTGATCCAACAAAACTGAAGAACAACATTTTAGCCCTTTTAGATTATTTATAAAGAAAGTGTGCCACATATCCATATATGTTCCCGACTTTCCAGTAATCAGACCACACACAATGCATTAATAGGAGGACATTTTATTTTTACAAACATTCTGATTACATAATGACCAACAAACTTTTTCCATTCACTCTGATTTTCCATATGGAAACTATGGCCTGCAGGCGTATAGTGTCCAACAATAAAGTCAGAGTAAAAGTCAATAAAAACATTTCCCACGTACTGAAATAATTGTATCAAACTATATAGAAACATAGAGCGCTCAAATGCATTGTTTTATTTTAAACAGACCAGGACGAACATAGAAAATAATGTAATAACATCATATAATTTTTTTAACCCTCAATATCAGTAATTATTATGTGCATGTATTTTGACATTCACCAGTTTTATATCTAAGTTTGTTATCTTATTCTTTACAAAGTAAATTTAAAATACATTTTTCACAGCTATTTTTCTTCCCATTTAAATGAATACGACTTGCAAAGAACACATCAGAAGTTATCAATTATGTTTTTAATCCTTCCATAAAATATTTGTGGCTCATATAATACAAAATCATAAAATTAATATTTCAGATACATCATCTGTAAACTGTTCAGTATTTCCAGGTTTGCAGTGGAAATCATTAACAGACAATAATTTGGTGAATTACTTTGAATTACTTTTACTTTCAAAAGGAGAAGATAGAAAATTAATGTCCTTTTATGAGAGCACAACCTGCTGGGCACAATAGTAAAAACACTCATAGTGTAAAAATATGGCTCTAATAATAAACACAGATGTTGGTGTCTTGCTGACACTGCTGCCTTTCCAGAGTCTAAAAATGACAGGTTTCAGCAGTCTTCTTCTTCATTGCAGCAATTTTCCGTTTTGCTCCCTTGTTAATTGAAAAAACAAAAGTGGTGCTCTCTCTATCACTCGCCCATTTTAATTTATGTTCACTTTCAAACACTGGTATGAAACTCATGTGTTCTTCTCTGTTTTACTGCTGCACTGTTTAAAGTCATCAGGCTATGATGCATTTATGCTTTTCTTTATATTTCTTAATTTCTTCTTCATGCTTTTTCTGCATTTCCTCCGATTCTTTCTTCAGTCTTTCTTCTCTGTCACTGGAGACCTTGTGCAAATCAGCATAATTATGTTTCTGTTTCTCATGCTCCTGCTTCAGATTCCTTATCTCATCATTGTATTTCTCTATCAGAGATTCAAAGTCACTGGTGTATTTCTCTTTGAAGTCATTGATGTCTTCAGCTTGATTTCTGGCCTCCTTTTCATGTTTCTGCTCCATTTGTCTCATTTTTTTCTTGTGGTCTTTCTCTAATTCTTTTCTTTTTCTTTCCTCCTGTTCTATTCTGACACTGTAATCTTTTATTCTTCTGTGATAATCTTCTTTTTCCTTTTCATATTTTTCTGTCAGCTTTTTAATTTTCACTTCTTCTGCTTCTTGTGTCTGTTTACTTTCTTGATCCCTATTGTCCCACCATTCTTCCCTTTCCATCTCCCAGGCCTCTCTCTCTCTTCTCATTTCTTCCCTGTTTTGCTCCAGCTCTCTGATGAGCTCTTCCTTTGATTCAGATTCTATTTGCTTCTCCAAAGTTTCCAGTTTTTGTTTCCATTGTTCTCGTTGAGTTTCTTCCTCTTCTTTCTTCTTTCTCTCCTCATCTTCTTTGATTTTCTGTTCTCTCCCTCTCTCTTCTCGCTCCTGGTTAATGCGTTCCTGCATCTGTTTGAGTTGTTTCATACTCTGCTCTTTCTCAGATTCAAATTTAGAGATCTTTTCTTCCATTTGTCTTTTTACTTTTTGCATTTCTTCTTTATGTTTCCTTTTAAGCTCCTCCCTCTCTCTCATCATGTCTTCATCCTTCTCTTTCAGTATCCTCTCCACTTTCTTCTGTATTGCTGCCTCAGCCTCTTGGAACATCTCAGTGGTGTAGTATCCACCACCATTGTCTTTCAACATGGCTTCAATTTTCATCAGCAGGTCTGACACTTGTCTACGGTTTTTTGGATCTTTGTTGTTGAAGACGTGGTATCTGCCTCCACAGTCTTTAATCAGAGTTTTTACAAAATCAGAACAGTCTTCTTCTATGTAACTTTCAATGGATGTGTCTTCAAGCTCATCTCCTCTGGTGAAGGTAACAATGATGAAGTTTCCTGACTTCTTTCCAAAAATCTCTTTGATTATTTTCACAGTTTCTTTCTCCTCCTCTGTAAATCGACCGATCTGCAGCACCAGTAAGAACACGTGAGGTCCAGGAGACAACATGCTGATACAGTTCAGGAGCTCTTGTCGAACTTCATAATTGGACAGTTTTGTGTCAAACAAGCCGGGGGTGTCGACCACAACAACAGGACATCCATCAATCTCTCCTGCTGCTTTCTGACATTCTCTGGTCACAGAAATCTGACTGACTTTAGATAAAAACACCTTTTTGCCCAAAATGGTGTTTGCAGTTGCACTTTTCCCACTGCCAGTTTTTCCAAGCAGCACCATCCTGATGGACTGTTCACTTTGATGTGCATCATCAGATGAAGCCACACTGCTGTGTTTAACTTCCTGCAGTTCAGCTTTAAGTCTTGTTACCTTCTCCATTTGAGCTTTGGTGAACATGTCCTTAGTGAAGCATTTGGATCCTTCAGCTTTCATATTTTCCACTTCATGCAGAAGGTTCATGATGGTTTGCTTTTCTTTGATGTTGAGAACAACATATCGTCCTCGATAAGTCTGACAGAGCTTCTGAATGTCCTTGTCTTGTCTTATAAAGTTACCAACAGCTGGATCTGTAGGATCTGAGTCCACAGTGAACAGAATCATAGTGAAGTCATTGACCCGAGAGCTGAATGTGTTCTGGATGATCTCTAACTCTCCCTTGTCTTCATCAGTGAGGGGAGCCACAGGTAGGACCAGGATGAAGGCATGGACAGCCTCAGGATCACAGAGGGAGATACACCTGAGTGATTCCTCCATCACTGCCTCCTGAGGTTTTCCATACAAGGCAGGCAGCTCCACCAGGGAAAGCCAACGTCCACACACCTCTCCCTGATGTTTAACACACTCTGATGAGTTGGAGGCTGAATGAAGCTCAGTCTGACCTAAAATGGCCTTGGCTGCTGAAGTCTTCCCTGCTGCTCTCCTCCCACACAGAACCAGGTTTAAAGATGGTTTGATGAGTTGTGATTCTATTCTTCTGATCTTTTCAGGTGGTTCTTTTATGTCTTCAGACTTTGGTCTGATGGTCTCTTCGGTGACTGTGAGGAATTTTCCTTTGAGAACATCGTGCATGAGAACAATCTTCTCCATTAACTGTCTGTGATCATTTTCAAACATGTTGTAGTGTCTACCTTCACAATCTCTAAGTAGAGAATTAACTGGAACTCCCATCTCCTCCTCATCTGTGATGATGACCATTGAGTGTTTAAAGGCATCTCCATTAAACACACTCAGGGTCAAACTGAGAGTTTTTCTGCTCTGCATAGTGAAATCAGAAGGTTTCACCATCAGCAGCAGAACGTTTGGTCCAGGAGGACAGAGACTCACACAGCTCTTCATCTCTTCTCTCGCTGCTTTCAGAGACGGACTTAAGAAGTCTGGAGTTTTCACTACTGTTAAAGGTTTTCCTCTCCACTCTCCATCGAAAACTTGTCTGTCTGGAGAAAATCCTGAAAAATCATAATTTTTCTTCACAATAAAGTTACAGAGTTCTGTCTTCTTTGCTGAGTTTCCTCCAAACAGCAAAATGCAGAGTCCACATCCTGTAAAGGAGCAAAGATACAAACAGGAAATTACTCTCAGACAGTCTGACTGATCCTAAAAGCCTTTTGGTCTTTCTTCACTTTTTCCATCTTCAGTAAATGCTGCTTCATGTTTTTGGTGGATCGTTCCTTCTGAGCACTTTAGAAAGTGTCTTTATGTTAAAATATCTACAGATAGAGTTTGGGGGTTTTTTTACTTACCAACAGGCTGAGGATCATTCAGAGTAACAGGAGCTTCTTTTCTTTGTTCAGCGCTGGTGTGCTGACAGGTCACATGTGTTCCATTGTTCATTTCTACAATGCGTTCCATGTTTTCTAGTAACTCCCGAATGTTGAGGTTTTCAAGCTGCAGTGACCTGTTATTACACAGTCTGATCATTTCCTGTAAATGTGTATGATACATGACACTATGCCGTAAACCCAGACGCCTGGGTGGTGATATCAGAACCAGTGAATGATCAAAGGACTGATCACTGAAGAAGTTCAGGACTCTGCAGAGTCTCGTTTTTTGATGCTCATTGAAGTCTTCAGGCTGTAGAACCAGCAGGAACACATGAGGTCCAGGATCAGAGAGCCTCACGCAGTTGTTCACATGTTCCTTTATTTTGTCCTCAGAGATGGTTGGATGAAGCAGATCTGGAGTGTTGATGAGAAATATTTCTTTCCCTTGAATGTGTCCACTGACTCTCACACATCGGTCCAGTTCTTCCTCAGGGTTGAACTTGTTCTCTCCCAGTATAACGTTCCCCACTGAGCTCCTCTCAGACCAGCTGTTCCCCAGCAGGACAGCTCTGAGCTCAGACACTGAAACGACAGCAAACACAAACACTGAACAAAGAATCGTTCAAAGTTAATACAAGCAGCAACAACATTATATCATAGGTTTCAATTAATCTAATTTTAATGGTTTTCCATTTGTAACCACTGAGTTGTAATTATTGAAAAATGTGCAAAAATTGTCATTTTGTTTAAATATGTGTTATTTTTTTCTAGTATTTATGGATCATTACTGAGTCATAAATATATATTCACATGTGAGAATACTACATAAAGTTTGAGAGCTGAAAAATAAAATTAACCTCTGTTAAAAGCTCAGTTTTAAATCCACAGAATCTGAAGACCTTTTTTTTCTTGCTTGGCACAATTTTATTTCTATAATCTCTTTTGATCATCATTACCACAGGCTACATCACAGTTTCAATAAATTGCACCAACTTCATGTCTGTGGCATAGAGCTACATAAGCACTGGTGTCCTGAATGTTTGATCTGTTAACATGAAGTTAAGGACACATTTGATTTGCTGTAACCTCTCCCAGATATGACCCCAAAGGTTTACATAAAATAGTTTTCTTCACTTTTCTATACATTATATGAGCTCTAAATGTAAAGAGAGAAAGCAGGATCCGTGCACTAAGAGGTTTTCATTATTCCAAACAAGCTTCACACTTCCTGCTATAGTTTGTCTTCACCTGCTCCTGTCTAATGTCTTCCACCTTAAATTGCCCATTTAAAGTTTGCATTAAACATAATCTTTTCTTTAAAAACTCACTGTGGGGGGGCAGAAAATCAAAGCTCTTCCTGCGACGTCTGGGAAAAGTGTCTTGTGGTCCTGCAAAGATAAAGAAAAACATGCATTGTGCACTGAGACGTGTTATCCTGCAATGACTACATCAGATGGAACAAAGCACTTTTAATGTCAACAGCTGACTGCATGAACAGATCACATTAGTTCTGGGAAAGATTATTAAACATGACTGTTAATTTTCAGAAAACACATTCTGTCAAATGTTATTGGTTAAACACATTGTTAAAGCATGTTGCATGCAACACAGCAGCCTGGTTCAGCAAAGACACTCAGATGAGACCTGCTGTAAAATATTAACCTGTAGTCACATCGTTTATCCTCTAATAATCACTTTTTCTTCATTTTTTTCACATTTCTCCAAACAGGAGAAACCAAGAAACAATGAAATTATTGTCAGAAAGTGCTTGTAGAGGGTGGTAACTCACAGTTACTGCATGTAAGTGTGACAAAGTAAGACTCACCAGATGCTGCTGCCATGCTGTCATTCAGCTGCAGAACTCACTGACTGTGGAGTTAAAAGAAAAAACAACAATGACTGAGAAAATGTTTTCATGTTTGAACCTCTGACATCAAAGGAGTTTTGCACAGACGGTGCTGGATACAGACACTTGGATGATTTTATGTAAATATTCACAACAAAGCGAACAAAAACTAGTCTTCAGAAGCACGACTGCCTGTAAAACATGGCAGAAAGTCCCTTTCAGACTGTTGTTCACTTTAAGGTGAATGAAAGTACTCTTAATGAATCATATTCAGTTCTTCCAAATGAACTCTCCTTATTTGAGTCAAGAATAAAGTTGGTGGGGTTCAAACTGAAATCCAAAACTTTTCCGTTTGAGTGTCTAGTGAAGATCATCCACCTTTATTTCAGCATTTACTTAGTGGGTTATTCTCAGTGTCATTTGGCCATGTTATCTAATATTACAGACTATCTGCAGGTCAAAGATATGACTGTTTTTCAGCAATAAATACTTCATTTGTCAGTGTCTCGAAAAACTCATTTAAAGGATTTGCACATGTCATCATATACCCAACACATGTAAGTTCTATAGAGTCTTGCTAATGACCTACTAATGTTCTTCAGGTGTGTTGCAGCAGAGACATTTAAAAGTTTCAGGACACCGGCCCTCGAGGACTGGAGTTTGACATCGCTGCCATAGAGCAGAAACCCACCCCAACCCCATCCCCCTCCTTTGTGGGGTTTTCAGTCTGAGTCTCAGGATGTTTGTGTGTATTACTTCTAGTCTATGTACCCACCTTGTTTCTCTTGTGCTACAGCTCTCTGGTCACAGCACCTGTTTCACGCTCTGACTCCTGGGAAGGATTTCAGTATGGCACCTGGCTGCCCTCTTGCCACCGCTTTGCACTGGATCCCTTTTAACTCGGGTCAGCCCAGCATCGCTCTCTTCAGTTCACCCGGATCTTCAGCTGCTCCTCAAAGTGTCGCCAACTCTGCCTGCAACATGAGTCATATTTCTGTTTCAAATTCATTCAAGCCTGGAGAAGTTTCATACCCACAATAATCACCCACTCCTCTGTCCACAGTTACAGCTTTAGATCTCCACACTACGAGTTATGTTCAAACATCAAGCCCTGAATCCCTCACCAAGTTTATTCCTTTGATTAAACTTGGAAATAAAGTTTGAAAATTGCTCTGCTGTCTCCACAGTCACATATTGGGCCCTTTGTAAGCTTCTGAGCTCTGAGTGGTTTTGCAGTGTGTACAGACACATTTGTGTTCACCTGTCCTGATAAAACACCTGGTCGCTGTGTCATCAAATACATGCTTAACTGCATCTGCATGCACATCCAACAGCAATGTCGAGTACCCCTGACCATCACTGCTGAGGTCATAAATAAACCTCCAGATTTGCATATACGAGAACTCTGAGAGGTCAGGTTACTCTAATATTTGCTCCCACCAAGCTTAGAGGCTTTACTTGATGAGTTTGCCTCTGTTCAAATTAAACAAGGTAACAAGAAGTCTGTGTTTATCTGTATACAGTGGATGTTATCTACTCTGTGGTCAATGTTCACTTGTTTCAAACGTTATCATTTTCTTCTTTGTGCATGCTGTTACTCATCGACTCACAGGGCGTGATACACATCACATTTACTTTATATCTAACTGCAGGTCAAAGGTCGGCTTTATTAATATGAACGTGAGTTAATGATTTAAAAAAGGCCCTTTCTGAATATTCTCTGCTATCAGTTTTATGTTCCTAGATAATCTGAGACTAAGACTTGTGAACCTTTTTAAAGATTAATACAAAAGTTTCAGACTTTGATGCAGACGAGAAAATAACAGCTACGGTCACAAAAATAAAAATACTTAAATACATAAAAAGAAAAATACATCAGGTTATGATGGAAAAGCGCACGACCTCATTCAAGTTGGGTTTTTTTGCTTTTTTCCTACAGACTAACAGGAGGTCACACAGGTCACAGTGAGTATTACATTACTGTTACTCAGCTGTATTCCACGTATCGTATTTATTACTCTGATGTCCACAAACTGATGAAAAGAAGGAAAGCATCCATAACTGTGATTTTAAAAAAAAACACACCAGATGGGACATGACTGAAACTTTCTGAAAACCAAATGTTATTTTGACGGCTCCTGGTTATTAACATGAATAGAAGCTGCACTAATACACACAGATCTACATTTACAAAGTTAATATTCTTACAGTTAAATATTATACTTTTATTAATGAATTTTTTATTGCTCCTAACATTATGGCTGCAATTAAGTTCATCGTCCCTGGACTTTAGACTCTCCACTCTTGAACAACAACGCACTGCCCGGCTGGATTAAAAGCGTAACTTTATTAAAATCTGAACAAATTTAAAACAGACGAGCTTTTTGACACGAAATTCAAAAAATCATTTCACTGGATTTTTGTCTTTGAGATCAAACGTAACAAACAGAACCACAGAGATCCTGCAATCTGTGCATGGACTGATTTTAGTTCTTATTATTGATCAGGTCATCCTGCAGATCTTACCTGAGCTGTGTGTCTGTGACATCACTGTGCTGGGAGCAGAATTCATAAAGTGACTTTTCAGGTCTTTTAGCTAAAAACAGTCGTCATTGATATTCCACATGTTTCATGCGACATCGCTTCAAGGTGAAAGCTCACCTGTAACAAAGTCTTCTCAGCAGAGTGGGCGGGAGTCTCACTGCTGACATCAGCGTGACATCACTGAGACACCTGAACACCTGATCAATGTTTAACCTGCAAGAAAACTGAGACTGAGAAAATTTTACAGCTGAATAAGACCAAGGTTTCTCTTCGATAAGCAGCCTGTACGTCTGCTGGTTCATTCTTGCATTGTGAGCTGTCAGATTTTAACAGCAGAATTCACAATTTACCAGAGAATCACTGAGAGAGAGAAATGGCATCAAAGTAGGTTTCTCACTGTGGCCAGGCTGACCGTCAGAGCTCTGTTCAGCCAACCATCCCTTTAACATTAACTAGTAATGACTTCATGAACTTCTTCACAAATAACATTTTAACCATTAGAAAAAACATTACCAATAATCATCCCACAGATGTAATCTGTCCATGAAGCCAGATAACACACACCAATTAGTTAAACTGCAGGAATGTCTTAAAGACATAAAGACCTGGATGGCCGCTAACTTTCTGCTTCTTAATTCAGATCAAACTGAGGTTATTGTACTCGGCCCTGAAAAGCTTAGAAATATGGTATCTAAGCAGATTCTTACTCTGGATGGCATTACCTTGGCCTCCAGTAACGCTGTGAGGAACCTTGGAGTCATTTTTGACCAGGACATGTCCTTCAACGCACATATTAAACAAATATGTAAGACTGCTTTCTTCCATTTGTGCAACATCTCTAAAATTAGAAATATCCTGTCTCAGAGTGACGCTGAAAAACTAGTTCATGCATTTATTACTTCCAGGCTGGACGACTGTAATTCATTATTATCAGGAAGTCCTAAAAACTCACTGAAAGGTCTTCAGTTAATCCAAAATGCTGCAGCAAGAGTCCTGACAGGGACTAGAAAGAGAGAGCAGATTTCTCCTGTTTGGCTTCCTGTTAAATCCAGGATTCAAAATCCTGCTCCTCACATACAAGGTCTTAAATAATCAGGCCCCATCTTATCTTAATGACCTTGTAGTACCATATCACCCTATTAGAGCACTTCGCTCTCGCTCTGCAGGCCTACTTGTTGTTCCTAGAGTATTTAAAAGTAGAATGGGAGGCAGAGCCTTCAGTTTTCAGGCCCCTCTTCTGTGGAACCAGCTTCCAGTTTGGATTCAGGAGACAGACACTATCTCTACTTTCAAGATTAGGCTTCAAACTTTCCTTTTTGCTAAAGCATATAGTTAGGGCTGGACCAGGTGACCCTGAATCCTCCCTTAGTTATGCTGCAATAGACGTAGGCTGCCAAGTTTTTCCTTCCCACTGTTGCCAAAGTGCTGCTCATAGGGGGCCATTTCTCTGTATATATTATTGTAGGGTCCACCTTACGATATAAAGCACCGTAAGCAGCTGTTGTTGTGATTTGTTGCTGTGTAAATAAAACTGAATTGAAAGTGAAAGAGCAGCAACTGTCCCAAAGGAAAGAATGAAACAAGATGGTCAGACAGATGTTTGTTATTAATTCAGTGTATTTGATCACTTTGCTCAGTTATCATTGAATAATGTTTACTTGCCACTGTGGTGAAACAACCTCAGAAGCAAATTATAACTCAGACATGCGCGTGCATGTGGCGCTCAGCTCCCTGGACAAACACCACAACACCCTCTGAGTGCTTCCTGCTCCACAGCAGTGTCTTCATGTCCTTGGACGTTCATGTTGGTGCAGTGGTCCTGGATACAAGCCTCCTTATTGGCTCAGGTGTTTCTATGTGCAGTTTGCCAGGTCTGCCTGTGCCAGTCCTACTGTTGCTGAGTGTTGGTCTGATGCTCTTACACTGAAGATAACAAACTCATTCACGTGCAGTAATGTGATGATAAACTGCAGTCTTACTTTTGTCTTGATTTTAAACAACAATTTTCAGATATTTGCTTCAGTTTTTATTGCTAACATTGAACTTTAATCTGTGTACTTGGTTTTATTTCTTATTGGGTGTAGTTTACCATTGTGGCCACCAGATGGCGCACACTACGTGTTTAAAGTGAGTGAAAATGAAGCAGTTTTTGCTCCTCACTTAAATACTTTGGACAGAGAGACTTATTCCAGTGTTTAAACACTCAGTTTAAACACTTGGTGTATTTTCTATCTTCTATGATCAATTAAATCTGAGTTTCACAAATCATTGAATTTTGTTTTATTGTTACGCTTGTGTCCTAACTTGCATGAAACCTCTGGCAAAGCACTAAAACCTGCTTTGGGTTAAGTTCCTGCTGCAGTTTGTTTCCAGCATCATATTTTAAAATGACACACAATCTTTCAGAAGAATGAAAGAACACCAGGATCGGCTCTGCAGCCTCTCCTGATCTTACTATAAATGACCAGAATATGAAATGAATATTTTGGGGCTTAAGCTGTCACATCATTGTTATTGTGGTGTTAATAGGAGCTGATGGAAATGTCAGAGGTGGAAAAGCTGCTGGTTAAACAAAAGAAAAGCCAAAAGATAACGAAGTCAGCAGACTTTGTTTCCTCTGAGGGCGGTAATCTGTTTAATACTGGCTGATAATCCAATCCAACCATTCGGTGCACCGACGACATCATCTTCTTCAAAACTCTTCATCTGTCCCTCTGGCTTCAAACTGTGACAACAGGAGTCGTTTAATTTTCCTCTTTTCAGCCCAAACGTTCCTCTGCTGCTTTAATCATCTCCCAGTTTCTTTGGTTGAGATGTTTGACTAAAAATAAATAAATAATATTTTTAAATATTAGCTTTTTAAATCTATATATGAAGATCAGCTGCTGAGAAAAGACCTGCAGCTGTGATCAGCTGTGAACATCTGCTTTGGTTGAACATGTAAACTATGGATCAGGCATGAAGACGCCCAGAGAGGGAAAGGTCAACAGAGACTTTAATGTATAAAGTTTGTTCCCTTGTTAATCATCCAGACTGTAAACTGCCTTTTTACCCTGTGTGCAGGAGCAATTACTGAGTTATTCATTTATTCTTATACATCACATCTTTAAGAGACGTTTTTTACTGAAAAACACCAAAATCAGGTTCATGCTACAGTGTTTAGAACTTTCTTCACAGACTGACAGATAAATATCATCTTTTTAATCTCATATTGTATTTTACTTTAGATACTGGTCATGTTTATTCTTCTCTCTCTTAAATAAACATAAATACATTGTTGGTTTCAAATGCAGCTGCAGTTAAACCAACAGTTCTTTCTTCAGTCTGCATTCACAAACCCCAGAAGCTATTTAGAAAGCACAAGGAGCAGTATGTGCAGTGTATCGTCTGTCCAGATGTCTGACACCATATAGAAAATCATTCAAATTTAATAAAACATTGAAGTCATCAGACAGTGTTAGAAACATTCAAACCTTGTAAGATTTGAGTTTCTCTGTCAGCAGTCACGTCTCTGTTAACGTCCTCAGCTGCACCCAGAGGACACTTTGATCCACTCACCAGAGACTTTATCAATCCTCAGTCTTTATTCTTCCAGCAGAAAACTGTTTTCTATGTCTCGTGTGATGATGATTCATCAGAACGCAGTGAAAAGGAGCTCATCAGCATCAGCATCAGGCCACGGCTTGACTGGAGGTACGGACCTCTTTTAAAATCTTTCGATGGTGCTGGAAATAAACTTGTGCCGTCCATGCTCCCTGAGTGCTGATGTTTTGGTTTCCACTCTATAAAAATATTATTTTACCATAATAACAACAAATATCATGATGTTGAGCCAGCTGACACATGTGTCATGTGCTTTTTAGAGAAATGTAGTTCTGCCTGATACAGTTTGCATGCTTTAACTACTGATTCCTTTTCAGTGCTGCATTACAGACACATGCAGGCATAACTATTCGCTCTTTAATTGTAAAAAGACTTGAAGTGAGGAAAAACAATAAAATAAGTAAACATTTTATTTTTGTAGATGTCTAATAACAGCTTTGTAATCCTCAGTTGTTATTAAATATTTATTTTATCTAAATAAATAACTGCTGACAGATGTTAATTCATTGCAATAATGAGAAAAAGTCTGGATTTTGCTACTTTTACTCTAAAAATGAAAAAAAAAACAGGGAATAAAATAAACAGATTAACATAAAAAGTCTGAATTACATAAAAACGTATTTTTGCACAAATTCTCAGCTTCTGTGATTCAAAGTGAAGGTTTGCTGCCCTCCTGCGACTGAAGGAGCTCACACACCCACGCTGCCTTCACGACACGTAGAAACTCGGACATCTCAGCTGCGTTTTACTAAAAATTCGGATGACAAACACCCGCCGATTATAGTGACGTTTAGTAAAATCACTATTTAGATTTATCCTTTGATCTGTTGACCTCATCGTTGTTCGTTTAACGGTAACACGTGAAATACACACAGCGTGTCCTCCGGTCGCTCCAAGTCTCCGATCTCCTATTTAACCCCAGCCCGTGAACGCAGCACCAGGACCAGCCTGCCTCACATTGTTAACGTTGATTTCTCCCGTTCAAAGCAGCATTTTGTCTTCCGTGAGCCGAACCTGGATCACAGCCTCCCACTAACCGCATGAAATCTCGGCTTCGTCAGGCAGCGGGACCCCCACCGGCACACGGTAAGACCTCCACGGAGTAATCTGGAAACCCCCCGTTTCCCGGTGAGAAATCTTTCCAGCTAAGGTTCATGTCTCAGACTCCGGAGGAATAAAACGTTACCGGGGCGAGCCGTGCTGTTACTGCGGGGGGAGCTGAGGGGTCTGGTGGTTAAAGTAGTTGTTTTTTTGGGGGGGGGGGGGGGCACTTTGGCACGCACGGTTAAACCGGGTCAGACACCTGTGCGGCTCGTTATTCTGACTTTGCTCAGCAGTCATTTTCCTCACCGGGCTGAAAGCAGCAGGAGGAGGTTAGCGTGTTTCCCATGGCTACACCAAGCGTCCACACGGGGGTTATTTGCATTCCTCTCCGGCCTGTGGCGACACACACACACGCACGCACGCGTTATTATTATTATCTTAAAACTGGCAGCCAGATAACTGAGCCGGGAGTCCGGGGCAGAGCGGCCAGGTCAGCTCCGGGGGTCGTGACGTCGCCGGGGCTGCAGGTTCACCGCTCCGTCACTTTGGGCCCCTTCTGTTGACCGCACGCCCACCTTCCCCCGCAGCCGCACGGTTTCATAATCTAATGCTCTCGTTTCTTCTGCCCTCCTGTTGATCTCCGTGTGGAAGCCCGAGCATGAGGAGGATCGGTGGCCGTTACCCTGCCCACACCGGAGGCTGCTGGTAGGGATGGTGTGGCTGTGAAGAGCCGGTGTGACGCGCCTGTGGTCGGGGGAAGAAGTGCCTGGACAACATGACTGTTTTCAACCCGGAAAATGTGGAGGAATTTTATGACATCGGGGACGAGCTGGGGAGGTGAGTCCACACCGAGCTGATTTCTAATGCGCATCAACTTCCCGTTTCTGTGCCCGGGGCGGGGGTGCTGGGAAAATACCTGTTTTTCATGTCGATAATAAATGTTTCAAAGTTTATTTAGCCCACATGTGCAGAGCTGTGGTCCACGCGTGTCTGAACCCCCCCACTGTGAGTGAGTGAGTGTGATAAGCTGTGATTAATGCAGTCTATAATGCAGTGTCGTCAGTGATGAAGAGTTGCTGTGTCTTCCTGGGCTTTCTTGCAGGAGGCTGATGTAGATCTTTGCAGGGAGAAGGTGTCCATCCTGGCTGTCACTCCGTGTGATTGGTCAGAGGTGGATGCTGATGATCAGGGTGAAGAAGCTGACTGTGTATGAAGCACCGTGACAGAGCTGGACCTGAGTTTGGTTTGCAGGGCGGCTCGAATGTGGCAGATGATTCCAAACATAACGTGTTTGTTGACTGGAGCAAACTGCTGACCTGGCTTTACCTTCCTCATCGAAAATCTCTCGTGCCGTCATCTTTGCTCGAGCTGAGCTGACAAAACCAGTCAGGGAGTGAGTTTGTTTGGGCGGTTAGAGAAGAACGAGGACGTGCAGCAGCACAGTTGATCTGGATGATGTTCTTAAGCCTTCATTTGAACCAAATCCAGGTTTTGGTTAATCGAACAGCTTCACAAATGTTGTTTTTTAATCATAAGTTAGTTTAAGTGAAAGCAGATTTTCCTGTTTTCACTGTGACTTTATTGCTGATTCGGTAAAAAAATGTCATTACGTAATAATAAAGGCAGAAATGATGCGTTCCAGCTCCCAGATGTGAGAGTCACAGCTGTGGAAGTGGGTCTCTGAGTTTGTGGTTATGAAACGTTGGTAGTAACCAGCCAGCTGTTTTCTGCTCCTCGGCCTTTGTGGCGTTGCTGATTGTGTGTCGTGTTCACCTTCCTCTCTGAGGAAAGCCTGCGCGGCTGCAGCTGCTGTAGCAACAGAGACGATCGGGGAGCTGTGTGTGATGGGATTGAGTTTCTGGCTGAGGTAAAGTAGACGGCTACGCCAGCGTGATCGTCTCGATTGGCTGTTGCTCCAACGCTGGGATCCGCTCTCTGTTGAGGAAGGATGGGGAGAACAGGGAGCTGATATCACGTCATCCGCCATCATTATTGAATCATCCTAAATATTCCAACATCTGCAGTGTTGGGATAGAAAATATTTGCTCGTGTCGTCAGTCCTGTCATTTATGCATGCTGTTTGCTGGAGAGCGCTCCAGCAGCAAGGACTCAGAAATGAGTGTGTCTGTGGGAAACTTATTTTGCATGGGCACAAAGAGGCAAGCGCCATGTGTGCAGCTGGAACTAGACTTGTTCTTGTTTCTGCTGCGTCTCTTATGCGTGAGGCTTGTGTTACTTCTCTCATCAGTCACTCAGAATCTGACGTATCTGAGTCCGGTGACGTCCTGCAGCGTCCTCAGGCGTCTGCTTGCCGCCGCGTCACGTTTTAATGAGCAGATCTTTCCCATAGATGCTGCACACAGGTGGTCTTATGTAAGACTCGGGCGCACTGATCACTCCCAAACTGGGCCTGACACCTCTGCATTAGCAGCCCACGTGTGTTGAAACGAGGCAAACGGAGACATTTCTGTGCAGCTAAGCGTGCTGGGTCTGAATTGGAGCACTTGTACTGTACAAACAGACGAGCTGCACAGAAGAAATCAGAGGTTCTGGGTGAAAATGCAGAAACTACAGTGACAGTGCAGTCGTTATATATTTGTGTTAGTATTGGATGAACTTTAGGATAAACCAGAGTCTGTTAATGATGAAAGCTGCTGAGTCTTCCACTGTAAAGCCCAACATGCCTGCAGACTGAGGGCTTTTGATCCGACTGTACTCCAGGCCTGCCGCTGGCTGCACTTGGATTAAGGCCCATTCAGTTTGGCAAAATGGGAAAATGGGAATTTGCCCAAGCGGTGAGTCTATCCTGTCACTGACACCGACACTGCCTGCTTATGCATGGAGGACCTGATGCCCGGTGAAGCCGAGCATCATGCATGAGCATCTACGCGCAGCGAGCACGCAGGAACAAAGCCGAAGCATACATGTTAGCAGCGCGATCTTATATAATGCTGTCTATGAATGTTGCATTATTGCTGAAGCTCTGCTCAGAATCGCTGCTTCATCTTGATTTTTATCACCTCTGTGATCGGTGTGCCATTGCTCGCCCAGTTTTTGGAGCCTTCCAGAACAAAACCTGGAAAACTGGAAATATTAGACGCGCCTAATAAAGTGTCAGTCAGAGAAACGATTGTGAAACTGCAGGTCAGCCGTTGAAGATCCAGGAAAAGCAACAAGTTGTTGCTTCCAGAGCTGCGCTTTAAAAAGTGTGATGTGTTTGCACAAGTGCATCAAACTCATCCCTTTGAGTTTTCCCCAAAAACAAACGTGCAGCATGGAGTTTAGTTTAAAGGCCTCCTGACAGATGTTGACCACATCTGTGCTCAGCTGGTCTCTGTAACTGCTTCACAGAAAAGTCTCACTTCACGCCTCAGATTGTTGAAGACGTCGTAGTTTGCCAGCATCTCAAAGGGTCTGTTGTTTGACGCCTCCTCAGTGTGATGCTCAAGTGTCGGGTGAAGCACCGCTGCAGTGCTTTAATGGTGGTGTGTGTGTGTGTGTGTGTGTGTGTGTGTGTGTGTGTGTGTGTGTGTGTGTGTGTGTGTGTGTGTGTGTGTGTGTGTGTGTGTGTGTATATGTTAGACTGCACAGACACAAGCATTCAGGCTCAGAGCTTCTGTCGCTGCAGGGCTTTTTTTACCCCATCAAACCTTTTAGTTCCTCCAGTTAGATCAGCAGAAATAGAAAAAGCTGTAATTGCTTCCATTATCAGTGCCTCTGCAGTGCATTATGGGTCGTGCGTGACAGCCGGCGTGTGTGTTTACTTAATTAAATGATTAAGCAACGGTGTTTGTGTGGTGCTCCTCTGCAGAGGCCTCAGTTAGCAGGTGCTTTATGACACATAATACAATCAGCTGTCCATGCAGGGAGTTCCTCGCCTCGTCGATGGACTTCAGCTGCACCTCCTTGGGCTGGTCCTCAGTGAGCCCAGTGCAGCAGGACTTGAACCAGTTATCCACCTGCTGCAGGTGCTTGTTAGAAATCTCCAAACTAGAAGGCTCCGACTGCAGGGTGAGACCCGCTGGAGAGGCAGCTGAAGGAAATGCAGCTCTGACCTACGCAGGGAGAAAGCTGGAGATGATGCACGACTCCAGAGACAGATGGGAAATCACCTTCAGTGCTGGCCGGCTGATATCTGATCTCTGAGTGGATGCCAGTACTGCTCTAGAATAACAGTAAACCTCTGTAGGTCTGAGCAGAGCATGCGGTCATGCTGCATGCAGCAGGCCTGCGTGAAGAAACGGGCGCAGCTTGCACTCCGGTCATGTGAGTCCAGTTCTGCTTTCCTTATTTTTTGGATTCATTTATTTCTTTTGCAGTGGGAGATTCAGGGCTGTCACGTGTTCAGAGATACGCTGACTCAGCCTTTCTTTCCTGATTGAGAGAGAAAAATGACACGAGCCCACTCCCACTGTGGGATCCATTTGCTGTGTGCTTTTCATCGGGTCCACGTGGCAGTTTTACACTTTGCATATTTTTGCAGGGCTCTGCTGACCGCTGTGTGGCTCTCTACCAGTTAGCCCTCCTATTGTGTGCGTGTGTGTGCATGCGTGTGTGTGTGTGTGTGCATGTGTGTGCGTGTGTGTGTGTGCATGCGTGTGTGCGTGCGTGTGTGTGTGTGTGTGTGTGTGTGTGTGTGTGTGTGTGTGTGTGCGCGTGTGCGTGTGCGTGTGTGTGTGTGTGTAGAGGAGGAGGGGAGGCTGTAGCTCTAAAAAGATTCTGCAATGCAAATGAAGGTAGAAGCTTTAAGCTGAGGCTGCGTTTGGGCTTCATCAGGAAAAACTCCCCAAAGACGAATCGCTGTGAACACAAAACAGGATTATTTGAAGAATCCACCCAGGATCCTGTGTCCCGGAGTCCCTGAACAAATATTTTCTTCATTTATTGTTTATGGAGGACACCGACAGTAAATCTGCTCCAGACAGTCAGCAGCAGGAATCGGCCCCAACCAGCTACTGACCTACATTTACCCCCCACCACCACCCTTGGTTATTCTGTTGGGTGGAGGGGCAGTCTGGGAAGCAGGAGTGGCCTTGATGAAGCCTGTCACTCAGCCACCCTCCCCCCCGTCCTCCCCCTGGATCCCAGGGAGCGGCAGTGCGGTCCTATCAGGACTACTGTGCTGCAGCACTACATTAGCTCCAGTGTGGTCGTCGCATACTTTGGTGTGACTGTCCAACACAATAGGTTTATAAAAACCTTAAAGTGGAGGACTTTTGAAAATGAGCACAGGGCCGCTCGTCTGCTGACGCCTGCTCTGCATTAAATCCATCAGTGACTGTGGGTGTGAACAAAGACGAGAGCACCGCCCGTCAAAGCTCCATCACAGACAGCCGCTGCATGAAGGCAGAGAGAGGCAGCACTGATGCTGTTGTACCGTCTGCACTTTGTTTTTTTTATTGCTGTGCCATCTCATCATTTGCATTTTGGAAGCCTCGCAGGAAGCTGCGTGTCTGTGTCGTCTCTCTGAACTGTGGTCGCTGCCTGGATGCATCTCGCTGTCACATCTATGTATCTGACCGCCACACCAAAGTCAGAGGACTCAGCATCCTCCACGTCGTTGATTCTGCCGTCATAAAGATGCACGCGCTCAGTGAAGCCAGATGGAAAAGTTTTTCGACCCGCACTGAGCTGCTCTGTTTGCAGTTTGTCCAAACTGCAAACAGACGAGCTATCAGGATAACAACACGACAAACGTGTTCTCTTAGTCCTCGCTGAATATTCAGAGGCTCTGTGTAAGAAGTGATTTGCAGCCGATCTCATGCTGACAGAGTTCAGCCTCAGTCTGAGTGAGAAATCCTTTCAGCGTTTCTTCGTTGCCCACATTTAGCATCATC